CAAAATCAATATGCAAATAAGTTCTATTATTAGTAACAAACCATAAGAAAATTTCAGAAATATCATTCATAATAGCATAAAAATATGAAATACCAACAAATACACTTAACAAAAGATGTGCAAGATATCTACCTAGAAAATCATAAAACATTAAGAGAAATTAAAGATATAAATAAATAGAGGAACATATAAAGTTCACAGATTGGAAGATGTGTTATTGTAAAGCTGTTAATTTACTCCACATTGACTGAGTCAATGCACTTCCTAATAAAAATGCCAATCTTCTTGTTGTTAGTAGAAATTAACAAGCTGATTCCAAAATTTATAAATGCAAAGGGCTAAGAACAGCCAAGAAACTCTTGAAGAAAAACAAGTTGATAAGATTTATTTTACCAAATAGTAAAACATTTAATAAAGTTAGCGTAATTAAGACAGTGTTTATTGTCTAGCTAGAGTAATTAAGACAGGTACTGCCTCAAGGATAGAGAAATACAGAGTCCAGAATTAGATTCACTTATAAGATTTATAACACAAGTAGCAATAGAGAGCAGCAGAGAAAGGGTGGGTTTTTCAATAAATGGTGCTGAAAATTGAAAAAAAATCTTGATATTCCATGTAGAAATAAATACCACATAAATTGTGCATCCATAAATAAAAAGTAAAAAAAATAAGGCTTCTAGAAGATAATATAGGAGAATATCTTCATTATCTTGCTGTAGGGAAGATCTGTTAAAACAGGGCAAAGAAAGGCATAACCATAAAGGAAATGACTAATAAATTGGTCTACAGTCAGGTGCCACATAACAACTTTTCGATCAACGAAGGACCACATATACAACGGTGGTCCCATCAGATTAGTACCATGTGGCGTAGGTGTGTAGTAGGCCATACCATCTAGGTTTGTCTAAGTACACTCTGTGACGTTTGCACAACGACGAAATTGCCTAACGACGGCATTTCTCAGAACAGATTCCTGTCATTATGTGACATATGACTGTACATTAAGTTCAAAAGACAGCATTAAGAGACTGAAAAGGTAAGTCACAGAGTGGAAGAAAAATATTTATTATATTTAAAACCAACAAAGAACAACCAAACAAATAAACAAAAACCTGACAGAAAAATGAAGAAAGGTTTGAATAGGCAATTCACAAAACTGACTATCCAAATAATTATTAACCACACCAAAGAAGAGTCCAACTTCATAAATAACGAAGGAAAGGCAAATTAAAACAATAGTGAGATATTAATAATTCCTACCCAGCAGCATAGCTAAAATTAAATAAACTGATAAGGCCAAGTATGGGCAAGCATGTGGAGAAACTAGAACCCTCATGTACTGCTAATATAGGTGTTATTTGGCACAACCACTTTGGAAAACTTTTTGGAATTAGCTACTCAAGTACCATGTATGCTTAACCTATGACCCAGTAATTCTACTCCTAGATATATGTCCAATAGCAATGTGTGCACACTGCACTAATAGACATTTGTAAGAATGTTCATAGTTGCATTAAAATGGCAATAACCCAAGCAGGCTCCCAAAGTTAAATAGATAAACTGCAGTATGACAAAGGAATATGTCAAAACAATAAAAATAAATAAACTGTTAAACACAATATGGGTAAATTTCAAAAACTACGTGAAGTGAAAGAAGGCATAACAAAAGAATACTACTTTATGATTCCATTTATACAGAGTTAGCAAAACAAAACTACTACATTAGAAGCCAGGATAGTAGTTACCATACGAGAAGAGGAAGAAGGCTATGATTGGGAAGTGTCACGATGGAAGTCTTCTGGGGCACTGGTATTTTTCAACTTCCTGATCTGGGTGCCAGTTACAGAGGTGCTGGCTTTGTTATAATTCCTTGAGCTGTACCTTTATATGTTTTTCACTTTTCCTGAATGTGTACTATACTTAAAATGATAAAAATGTTGGAGAAAAACGTATTATTAAATCAATGGTGTGTTTTACAATGGACAGTATCTTAGAACAGAAGGAGTACGATATAGACATTTTAAAAAATTATGTATAAGTAAAGAGAAGTTATTATTGGCCTTTTTGCTTTAGTCTGCTTTTAGTTTTTGGTTAAGAAACCTTTTCCTACTCCTGTATCATAAAGGCGATCTTCTATATTTTCACTTAAATTCTAAGCTAATAGCTATTTTTTCCTCAGTACAAAAATATATAAAGCATTACTTCATCGTTTTGTGGTATCTATTTTCACCAAGGAGAAATCTACTTTGGGGCAATATATTCTGTAATAATTGTAATGAAAAGGATTTGTATATACAGTCCCTGAGGTAGGTTGAACAACATATTATTATATCCATTATATGTAGATGAAAAAGCTGAGGCCTAAGGGAACTTAAACGATTTTACCCAAGGGAAAAGAACTGTAAAATATAAATTACTCATACACATATCTTCTGACTCCCACATTTAGCATGATTTCCACTATTCCATTACAGTGGAAAAAACAAAGGCTGTGGAATCATAAAATATATGAACACAAAGTCTAGATTTCCCACAAACTGTGTAATCTTGAGCAATAAACTCTCTAAGCCTCAGTTTCCTCCTCTGTAAAACAAAGATAAAAATCATCTATTTTATAGAATAGTGAGGATTAACAATAATGGATATATATACAGTCCATGACCCCCAATACGTACTTGATAAATGAGAATGAGAAACAGTGCTCTATCTATAAAATATACACACACACACATATATACACACACACACACACATACATACATATATTCAATAGTTTCTAAGGATGATTTTGGAGCATTAAGTGTATCATATAATATACAATTTGGTTTGTGAGTGGTAGGTATATAATGAACCAAAGGGAGAAAAAAATCCCCAAATACCCAACAATATTCTATGAGCTGTACCTTGGGAGGCTGGGAGGAGGGCAGTGGTGCAGGGAGGAAGATGACATATTACAAAGAGGATCAAAGAACAGAATATTTGAAAAGAAACACATTACCACTTTTAAGTGTACGCTATAACTCATATCTAGCAAAGTATCATATAGGTAAAAATAATTTCCAATTAGCCTGTTATTTGGAGGTCAAAGGGCAATAATAAATGCTTCTGAAGTGAGGTCCTAAGTATTTTATACACATCTCCTTTAACTCTTGACCATCTGTAGATAGGCACTCTCCTTTAAAACCAAAACCACTAAGTCTATATTATGTTAGGTATAACTATAAAATAAAGACACGAAGTAATGAGTCACACATACTACTTTATAGTCATATCTGATCTATAACTTATTTTAATTATAGTCAGTCATTCCAGACACTACAATGACAAATTTTGGCTTTCTGTTTTTATCCTGTTTCCAGAAAGTAACCATAATAAAAACTTACTTAGAAGTCCTTTCTCCTACATTCCCTTCCTGTTGCAACATTTTTCTTAAATTAAAAGAGAAATATAACAACATTTAAAAAAACTCAAAACTTACAGATGCTTTTGAAAATAGCATTTCAAAACATATTCAACCACACAAAAAACCAACTCTCCCCCGCCCAAAAAGCCCAAACAAATAAAACACAACCATACAACAATACAACGTAAGTTTCTCACCAAATAGTTGTCAAAGAAACCAAATATACCATCTTATTACATTAAAACAAATGGCTTATAAGTGGGTAGGATTTACAGAGCATAAACAGCACACAGAGCAATGATTACTTAGAACTTTTAAGAACACTTTAGATGAAGTAAGCCATATAGATGACAGCAGTTTTATCTGTTAAACTGCATATTTAAAAAAAAAAAAACAAAACACTTTAAATGTTTTAGTCACGAGTCTCTATTCTTTATCAGTACTTTAAAAAGGATTTCAATGATGTTTTTGTTTGGCCCTTTCCTAAAATGGATGTGGCTGGCAATTGCGTTCAAGTAGCTGACATGAAGACTGTTGGTGTGTTTCATGGCAAGAGGTCTTTTGGAGGAATACTGAAATCGTGGTAACTGGCCAAAAACCACTACAACAAACTTCCAGCAGTGGGTATGAAGAGGGAGGGTTAGTGGAACACCAAGTAGTGCACTGAGCCACTTCCTTTTTGGGTTAAGTAGAGAGTGAATCAATTATCTTATTACTACTCATAAAATAAGACAAAATATTAATTAACCAAAAGATGGAAAAAATTTTCAAGGGAGTCACCTTTTTTTGATTAAGCAAGAATAACACTCATAACGCTTATTACATACCAGGAATTATGCTAAGCACTATAAGAATACAAAGTTTCATCAGACTCTGACCTTAAACTACTTATTATCTAACGGGAAGACAGGATAGTGTAAAAAAAAGAACAATAGAGAAGAAAGTAACAAGTCATAAGAGCAGTAAAAAAGACAATGTATTGAGAGATTAAAGGAAGGAAATGACTTCACGAAGGGGCAGCTTGACATGGCTGGGATGGATTGAGAAGTATGTGATTAGGTATTCCAATGGAAGGAAACAATATCAATAATGATTAGCAAGTAATCCTTCACGTGAAGTATGTTAACTATACATGAACCCAGCCAACACAAATTAAATCCCTGCCTAACTATGCAGCCCCCCAAAAAACAAAACAAAAACAAAGTAAAAAACCCATTTCATCAAGACATTTCAGATTTTAAAAACAGTTATTATAATTTTTTAAAACATTCAACCCAATTAAATAGTACTTTTAAAAGAAGCTTGCTAGAAAACATCTATATTTTTAGTAAATTATACTGTTAAGTATTTTAAAAATAAAATGACTATGTTGACATTCACATACAACTAAACAGACAGGGAATAAGAGGGAAATTAATATCACTAGTCCTAACTCGCCATTTAACTCTAGAGTAGGAATGGTGTTTTAATAGAAAGGAATGTTAACACAATTGGAAAACTGAAAACAAAAAGTACAGAATGGAAGTATTTACAATTGAATTAATAAGTATGTATTTACAAGGGAATTAAAAAGAATACAGCCTCTTGTATAACTTACCAACATAAAATGAGCAGTTGGAATGCAATAAACTTTCAGTCCACAAGCGACAAAGTTCACTTTCAGTCAGAGCTTCAACTCCATAACAAGCTTGATACTCCACTTTTGGTAGTACATAAACTGGAAATTGCTGCAATGCAAGGTTATACTTTTTCAAAGCCCCATTAATTTACTATTAGCAGCAAATACATTTGCCTATATAGTTTTCCTACTTTCAAAATGCTTTCAGGTAATCTTATTTCATCCTTTCAAATATAGTAGGATTCAGACAAAAAGATGGGCAGAACCCTCGGTACATGCGGACAAGAGGTGGATGGATAAGAGATCTCAAAGCAACTGCCTCCCCCCACCTCCAACCAGAATCAACACACCTCCCCACATATGCACACATTTTATTTCTATCAGGAAATGTGACTGACAGCAGAATCCTTGGAACAGAGCCTACGATACACAACTGCCCAAAGGTTCAAAGCTAGATGTTGGGATACAACGACTGTAATATACACTAATAATTCTCAAAAGGATAAAAAATGTAGAATTTTTTGCCCCTTTAAAGCATTAGTCACATTGTCTCAGGCTCAAATACTCTGAGCAATTTGTTTTCTTTCTATAAATATATGAGCATTAATACCTACATTAACACCTGTGAATGTCATTATCTTCATTAATACAAAGGCTTTATTACAGACATTAAGTACCCGGCAAATTATCCATTTTGAATTTATTGGTCAGGACACTAAAAAGATTAAGTAAAATGACTGTACCCACTACTGGTCTAAAGGAGGATATGTAAGGAAATACATGCTTGTAAAATAATATAATGTTAGTCATGTTCACAGTGCTTATGTCATCTCATTTCTGTCAAAGAAAATTCTACTCAACAGCAATCTCTTCATTTCCGGCTGCAGGAGAAATAATAACGATTTAAGGAACTTACTCAAAGTGATATGGCTAGTTAGTACTTTTGAAATTATGCTAAACTGTCACCATTTATGCACTTGAAAATATTTCATAAATGTTTTGGAATTCTTGATTTTCATAAAGTGGCAAATTTAGTGGGCCTGGTACATAGTGGTGGTAGGACCAATTCAAATCCAGTAAAATTTCTGTTACCAATAAGTTTGGTTCATATGATTACCTTTGAATGTTTCAAAACTCTAAAGCAGTGTCTCTTAAATTTCAATGTGCATATGAATGAATAACCTGGCGATCTTGTTAAAATGCAGAATCTGAGGTGATGATCAAGGTTTCGCATTTTTAACAAGCTGTTGTTTGAGGGGCCAAACTTCAAGTAGTAAGGCCCCTACAGTGTCTTCTCATTTAAAAAAAAATTAAATTATGATTAGGATAATTTTATTGCTATAAGCATTTTATTGTATAATAATTCTTTAGCAACTGGTAATCTGCAATTACAGCTGCTTATGGTTGCAAATAGAAGCTAGAGATAAAGAAACGAAGGCCCAGAGGGTTAAGGAATTTGCTCAAGAACACATAGCCAGTTTATAGCAGAGTTGGGAAAAGAATAAACGATAAAGATTTTCTTTTTGGATCATGAATAGATAATCAAGTTAATTCTAGATTTTTTTAATTAGAAAAATATTACTATTTCTGAAAAGAAAATACTTTGGGGGATTTTCTTTGATAATTCTGATCTATAAAACTGTGTTCTGAATCTGGTTTTAATTTCTATATGTATTCTACTGCCATCTCCAGGAAGCCAAGGGAAAGGAGAAACTGAATATTTTATCTTGGTATTTCAAAATTAAAGTGAAATTTTAAGTACAAAGTTTTCAAACTATAAAAATTAAGTTTGGGGGGCTGGCCTGGTGGTGTGTGGTGAAGTTCGTGCACTCTGCTTCGGTGGCCAGGGTTCGCAGGTTTGGATGCAGGTGCAGACATATGTACTGCTGTCAAGCCATGCTGTGGCGGTGTCCCATATAAAGTAGAGGAAGATGGGCATGGATGTTAGTCCAGGGCCCATCTTCCTCAGCAAAAAGAGGAGGATTGGCATCGGAAGTTAGCTCAGGGCTAATCTTTCTCACCAAAAAAAAAAAAATTGGGGAGAAACAAGAGATGAATAGGACATGATGCTAAGGGGAATACATTCTATTAAGGCAATTAAACCATGTGTACTAAACTATTACATATAGTGATAGGTGCAAATATGATAAACATTCACTGAAAATTTTAAAATTTTACTCTGGGTTTGACACAATAAGAAATATAAGGCTCCTATTCAGGTATTCTTTGGTGCTCGATTGTTTTGATACATTTTGATGAAGACTGAATTCTCTCCTATAAGGTTTTGTCTTGACATTTACAAATTTCACCTTAGTCCAGTGAATGATGATGTCCTTAACAGGCTGTGTCTTTCAAGAATTTAAATCAGTATCCAAAACATCCCTAGGCTACTCTTACTTAAGGGATACTGGCTGTCAATAATTTCTAAGTGTTGTAAGCTGGCAGATCAGTACAAAGTGATATGGATTCACAGGGTAGAAAGTGAAAGAAATGAGGGTAGCCGCCAAATAAATCAGAGGGATAGCAAATAAGAATTAAAGAAATAAAACCTTGAAAATACAATCCACAGCACTGACACTACATGTATTCAAGATGTTCATGCTATGGCCATTAAATTAATTCCTGTTAAATACAGATGATGAGCCAGCCACAGTGGCATAGTGGTTAAGTTTGGCACACTCTGCTTCCGTGGCCCGGGTTTGGTTCCTGGGCACAGACATACTCCACTTGTTTGTTAGTGGCCATGCTGTGGTGGTGGCTCACATACAAAAAAAAGAGGAAGACTGGCAGTGGATGTTAGCTCAGGGCAAATCTTCCTCAGCAAAAAAAAAAAATAATAATTATATATATATATATATATATATAGATGAGACAGGAAAAATTAGCAAATAAGGTAAAATCTTTTAAGACAGAAAATATTAGTATTTTTTTAGGAGGAGACTAATATCAACCCTATAGTATATTGTCATTCCTTGACTTTCTCTTATAAAAAATACTCCCCCATACATTTAATTCAAAATCATTTGGTTTCTAAAATTTCAAGTCTAAGGCAGTGATGAAAATCAAATTATGAGTATTAAGAATGTAATAATTTATTCATAATCTTCCTCTATTTAACAAAGGATAAAAGTACCATTAACCAAAAGATCAACCAAGTCCATTGATTCTGGTGGACAAAGCATATATCCTATATCCTGATGGGTTAGACTTAAGAGTTTTTTCATGACAGACCCTCACACTGCTGCTAGCAGTTCAGAAAGGATGGCACTTCTTTTTCTTTCAGTTACTCCTTAATACGATAAAGTAGTAGTCAGGGACTTGATCCACAAGAGTCAATGCTGGAACATTCTTGATTCTATTTGATCCCTGGCCCAAAACACACTGACATTCTAAAGTGGTCACTGAAGATTCTTATTGGGTGGTGGGTTAGACAGGAAGAGACACAGACATCAAACTTAGGGAAAAAAGAAGTGTACTATGACAAATGTACACAACAGAAAAAATCTTCTCAAGAAAAAATTAGAGACTTCACTATTTCTTATATAACCAATTATAATATAGAAGCTCCTCTTTATTTAGCAGAATTCAGTGGTCACACACAAAAAAATCAAACTAATCCAAGAGAACTTCAAATATCAAATATGGAAAACTGTTGCAAGAACCAATTACAGTAGTCCCCCCTTATCCATGGGGGATACAGTTCCAAGACCCTCAGTGGACACCTAAAACCTCGGATAGTACCAAACCCTCTATATACTATGTTTTTTCCTATACACACATACCCAGGATAAAGTTTAATTTACAAACTAGGCACAGTAAGAATTAACAACAATAACTAATAATAAAATAGAACAATTATAACAGTATACTGTAATAAAAGTTACCATAGATCTTAGCAACCTCAGCATTTGATTTTTTTTGTTTTCTTATTAAGTCGAGAACTTTTACCCTTTGACTTAAAGGAGGCACTTTATGGCATCTCTTTGGCATATCCGAATTGCCAGCATCACTACTCTTGTTCTTTGGGGCCCTTATTAGGAAAAATAAGGGTTGCTAGAACACAAGCACTGCAGCACTATGACAGTCCATCTGATAACTGAGGTGGCTACTAAGAGACTAATGAGCAAGCAGCATATACATGTGGATATGCTAAACAAAGGGGTGATTCACATCCCTCGCAGGCTGGAGTGAGATTTTCACGATACTCAGAACAGTGCACAATTTAAAACTTATGAATTATTTCTGGAATTTTCCATTTAAAAATTTTCAGATCACAGTTGACCGTGGGTAACTGAAACCCCAGACAGCGAAACTGTAGATATGGGGAGACTACTGTACTCAAATTGTAGCAAAAACTTTTTTAACTGGGGCAAATATTTACATCAAACCCCAAAAGAAACAACAAGGGAAAAAGAAAGGAAGACATTTGGTTTTCTAACAATTTTGGGAAGACTTTTCAAATGTGCGTGAAAGCCCACCTTTCAAAACTTGGACTTATTCTAAAATGAGTCAAGAAGATGCCCCAAGCAAGAGTGAAAGGGGCTAATACGTCACAATGGAAACCCAAATTCACAGAGAAAACAGAAATATATGCCCCAGGTCAAATCTATGATGGTGTCATTTTTCAAAAATTTGTATATTTCATGCAAGAATGTTATCAGCATTCATGACTATTGTATTTAACTAAATATTTTTCCTTATTAAAAGTGTTGTCAGTATTTTACTAAAAAAAAACCCTCAACCTGGAAAAACTACTATAAGGGTGATCAACAATTTAAAATCAAATTTCATAACAATGGCACATTAAATATTTGCTGATTATCTAATTATGCTACCACATCCTAACTCCCCAAGTAACAACTTACTCTTCTGATTTTCTTCCGTTTTTTAGAACGCGGTCTGGTCTCTATCCTCTGGACACTGCATCGCACAAGTAGCAACAGGTCTTGCAGGCTAAATAACTTGTAAACAAAATTTCCTTCCTGAGGAGCTACATATTCTGATGTATCTTCAACATAGTCCTGAAGTTCATATGGCAAGCCTTTAAAAATAATTATATTTTTCACTTTTATTTTAAAATACATTGGCCTTTTATCCATCATAGTCCAAGATAAAACAATTCAATTATCTATTTTTAAACTGCTATCAACTTTAACTTTCTATTTCCTCCCAGTTGACCATCACACTATTACTATTTCTGTTTACTTTTACTGGAACTGCAGCAAGACCTGAAATCAAAGCTCTAAGGTTCTCTTCTTCTCAATTCCTACCTTCACTAACCCTAGGCAGAGCATAAAGTAGTGAGACAACATATGAAGTGAGAAGAAAAGAGAGTTTTAAAAAATGTTATTGCTAACCTAGGCGGAGCTGGTGTGCAGCTTTATATCTATTTTACAAAATGAAAAAGCATAAAACTGCAGTCTAACACCAAGAAGAAATAAATTTTTGGATTAAGAAATGTTGATTTTTGATCCACTTCCCCTTCACCAGTTCAGTGAACCACATTACCTACAGCTTAGTAGCCACTGTACATGGTAGATACACACAGGTTACAAAAATCCATACGACTCTGGGTGCATATTTAGAGAGAAGGTTTTGGAAGTTGAAATACTGATCAGTAGATTGAAAAATGACTTATCAATGACTATGTAAAGATTATAAAACAGGTTATAACAAAGAGAAAGTGAGAGAATGAGGGAGAAAAACCTAAGGATAAGGAACTGGCAAAATAGTTAATATCAAGTTCTTTGTAAATGTTTACTTACGTCCTTTTGGCTTCTGAAATGCAGAGGGCCATACAGATTTTGGCCAACTACAGGCATCTGAAGCAGCAGAGGGTTGCTCGGAAACAGCAGGTTGTTTAGAATTTTCTAAATTCATTAAGGGCAACTCAGGTATTTTTCTGGAAATTGGCTTTAAGAGTTCATCCTGCATTTTTAAAATTTCTCCCACTGGATCAAATTTTTTATATACTCGTTTGATAGGTTTTTTTAAAACACATGACTCTTCAGAACTATAAGTAGTATTAGTCTGGTTTCCTACAGAAGCCTGTCCTGAGGAAGAATTTGGGCTAGTGGGTTTAGAACCTAAATTAGAACCCACATTGGCTGTTTTTCCATTACTATTATTTTGACACTCTGTATCAATGATTAAACAGTCTTCATCTGTATCACTATTGCAAAGAATTACGTCTTCAGTTCTAGCTGCTTCTGATGTAACAGTCTTTTCCTTTGAATTGTCTGTATTCTCTAGAACGTTTAGTCTTTCATCGGCATACACCACATCAGTAGCCATATCATTTTTATTAGAGGTTTCGATTTCCATAGAACTTTCTAACTGTAAGTCATCAGACATTTTCAAGTCACTATCTTGCATCAAAGACTTGTCAGAATTTGATACTTTTTCACCACATGGTACAAATCCCTGATCATTATTTTTGCACTCTTCAGGGCCACCATCCATACCAGTCACCAGCTGTTTCTCCTTTTGCAACTGTTCCATCAGAATCTGAGATAAACTTCTAGAATGAGCAGAAATGTCTGGTGCAGTTGATGCCACACATGTGGTGGCCGTGCTGGGGGCTGTGGGAGCAGCTATCGTGTTGGGTACTGTGGAAGTGCTTGCTGGACTTGGTGACTTCGATGGTTTGGTGGTGGTTACTCCAAAAGTTTCAAGTTCTGTGACATCATCATCAAAATCCAGATCCAAATTTTCAAGGGTCTCAATTTTTCGGCACTCGTTAACTTCATAAGACATCTTAAGAAAATATATTAGTAAACTATTAGCAAAAATTCCAGGCCACCCCCCTCATCTATCTCTGAATGTCACTACCCCTCATATACATAGTTCATGCTCTTTAAAAGTAGAAAGAAAAGTCTAATGACTCTGAAAGGTTCTTGCTTAACATGACAATAAACTACTGGCAACTAATTTATTTAACCTTACCTTTCCACTGAAATGTTGATAAAACACAGACAAATTTGCCAAGTTGTAACAGCACAGGAAATGGGGAATACTTGTGAACTACCACATTCCAAGAGGAATCTCCACTAATGAAAAAATAGGACCACAGAGAAGTGTTGGGCCAAACAGAAAGGGAGTAGATTTTCATTCACACCCACTCCATACACTCTTGCAGAGACAACCTGAATTTGCTGACCAGGGGGAAAGCCTCTTGGGCACTGTGAGGAAGCTGCTTTCTAATGCAGCTGGGGAAGTGTTGCCAGCCTCCAGTGCATCCCTAACATCAATCGGTGACTTACTTTCTACATCTACTTAGAGAAAACAACTCTCAGTAATATGAGGAGAAATGGACAGGAAGTGGTTTTACTGTATTCTAGGACACGAAACCCTTGAGACTGTAGTTTTTCATGTACTGTTTTGGTAATGGAAGAACTACAGACAGCTTTAATTTATTCAGGAATAAACTGTCCTCTCCCCAAGCAGCAGCAGATCTTTCTTCAATCTGGCAGAGCATTTTAGATAAATACCATGAAAATTTGGTTACGGGCTATACACACCCACTAGGTCTTACAGTTTAAGATTTGAGAGAGAAATACTCTGACAGCAATCAGGCAATGAGTAAGAAAGATCAACCTGTGTAAGTTACTTAAACTCTCTAAACCTCAATTTCCTCATCTCTAAAATAGTGATAATGAGGTCATCTTCTTGGATTTGTTCTAAGGATTAAATAAGAAATTGTATGTAGAAAGTTCCTTGGCATAGTCCCTGGCACATAGTAAGTAGCTTCTCAGTAAATGGTGGCTCTTACTAAAAATAAAAAGACTTCCAGATTTAGTCAAAAAACAAAACTAAACTATATGCTGTTTACACGAAGCATTCTTACATAAAAAGGCTAAAAACAAAACAATGGGACATGACATCAAGAAATAAAATGAGAAGGAATAGCAATATTAAGTGTTAGAATAAAGCAGAATTCAACGCAAAAAGCATTAGATAGAAAAAGGAATCCTATGTTGAAAAAGATGAAATGCATGATGAACAGATAATAAATTGTGACATGCCAAATAACAATATCAAAATATGTAGTCAAAACTGACAAATAAAAGGAAAATTTGACCGAAACACAATTGCATTCTAAGATCTGGAACAATCTTGGTCAACGACACACTGTCTTTAAGTAAAAATAAATAGGGATATACAAAGTATGAATAATATTAAATGATTGAAACAAATATATATGAATGACTGAAAACATATATATAGACTACAAAGATATACCTTTTCCCTCCCAAGAATCCAAGGGGCATTTCCAAAGACAGACTATAAATTAATATACAAAGACAACATCAATATAGCACAAAGCAGAATCTAAGGTCTTACTCTCTATTTAGAAGGAAATAAAATTAGAAATCATTAAGAAAAATGTAAATAACAATAAACCCAAGCACTTGGAAATTAAAAACCACTCCAAATTGTTAGACAAAATAAGAAATTAAAATAATTACAGAATACTTACAAAGCAACAAAAATTAGAACACTAGACATTAAAAATCAGCAGTATAATTCACATAGCCTTTTCAAGGCTTGAATTTCTTTTCAAGAAATAGGAAAATAATAACATAATCATAAAAATAAAATGAAGAAATTTAATAAAAACCAAAAACTAATGAATTGAAAAACAATGCTCTCACCTCCAAGAGAACAAATTTAGATGAAATTAAAAATTATCATTTATCTGTAAATATTTTAGTATATAGCTGTAAAAGAATTCTTCTATAAAAGATATTAATTACATCAATAAAAATTAATAATTCCTTAATGTCATATCTAATCAGTGTTAAAATTTCTCAGTCTGAAAAATGTCTTTTTACAATTGTTTATTGGAATCAGGATCCAATCAGGATCCCTACATTGCATTTGGCTGACATGTCTTTCAATTTTCTTTAATTTGCTAAATGCCTCTCCCCCTTACCTCTGCCAACTTCCACATCCACTAGATATTTGTAGAAGAAACCAGATTAGTTATTGTGGGAGATCAAGATTTGGCCACCCTGAAATTTATCTCTTTACCTTCATTGTTCTCTCTGAGGGACATTTGACCTCCCCCACTAACTGCCTAAAGAATTTGACATGGTGGCTCCTTCCTGGAACAGATCTTCTATCATGATGGCTATAAAGACAATGTAGGATAGAGGTTACAATAGCAAAGGCACCAAGCCTCTTTTATCAAAAAACTCTGTCTCTCCCTGACCACATTATCTATAGATGACCCCAAAAAGAATTGTCCTCTTGCCCTCTGAAGTCCCAGGACACTACCCACCCCCAACATGCTCCTCGCCTTTAGCTGCAATACTTAAGTAAGCAGCTTAGACAGAGGGACGAGTTGCTCATTTCTGAGTTTCTCCCATGTATACATGTTATTAAACTTGGTATTATTTTCTCCTGCTAACCTGTCTTGTTGATTATTTGGCCAGCCATAAGAACCTTAAGGAAAAGGGCAGAGGGAGATTCTCCCTCTTCCCCCGACATTATCCTGTAAAAATTTACACATTCTGGATTTTAACTTCTGCATCCCTATGTTGTCATTTAACATATCTCTCTCCCCTGAATTTCCTACTAAAATGATCTAGGAGCTTGATCAGATTCAGGTACAATTTTTTTTTTTAACTTGAATATGCTACATGTTGTACTGTGTACTTCCCACTTCAATCAGGAAGCTAATGATGTCTGGTTATCTTTCTTCTTGTGATATTACAATTGCTCTGTTGGTTCATCAAGTGTTGTCAACCTAATCTATCCATTATAAAATTCCTCACTGGGCTGGCCCCGTGGCTTAGCGGTGAAGTGCGCATGCTCCGCTACTGGCGGCAGGGGTTCGGACCCCGGGGCGCGTACCGACGTATCGCTTGTCCGGCCATGCTGAGGCCGTGTCCCACATACAGCAACTAGAAGGATGTGCAACTATGACATACAACTATCTACTGGGGCTTTGGGTGGGGGGGGAAGGAGGAGGATTGGCAATGGATGTTAGCTCAGAGCCGGTCTTTCTCAGCGAAAAGAGGAGGATTAGCATGGATATTAGCTCAGGGCTGTTCTTTCTCACACAAAAAAATAATAATAATAATAAAAAATAAAATTCCTCATTGATCTTCTAATGATTTTAGCAGCCATTGGTGATGATCATTGTCTAGATTCACTATTAGATTAGGAGCTGCAAAATGGTGACAGTCCTATTCTGTCATTACCCTGAAATAGTTTGTACCGGAAAGGCAAGACAAATACTTGATTTTTTCCTCTTATCAGTTTCAGAATAACGACTATGCAATAGCATCCTCCAAAGGAGACCAGTACTTTTTTTTTTTTTCTGAGGAAGATCAGCCCTGAGCTAACATCCATGCCAATCCTCTTTTTGCTGAGGAAGACCGGCCCTAAGCTAACATCTATTGCCAATCCTCCTTTTTTTTTTTTCTCTTTTTCTCCCCAAAGCCCCAGTAGATAGTTGTATGTCACAGCTGAACATCCTTCTAGTTGCTATATGTGGGACACCACCTCAGCATGGCCGGACAAGCAGTGCGTCGGTGCGTGCCCGGGATGGGAACCCGGGCTGCCAGTAGCGGAGCGTGTGCACTTAACTGCTAAGCCACGGGGCCGGCCCCAGTACTTTTATTTTTAAGAATCACTATGAATTCATGGATTTTAACATATTTCATATGTTTCAATCCATTGCCATCATTCTTTGTCATGTCAAACTGACACATCTCTGGCCAATCGGAAACCCTTCAAGTTGGCTCTCGTATCTTTTTGATGCAATTCTAATATTATTATAGGGTTTTTACTTAACTTCTTTGATTGGGGTTTGTATCTCTAATGCTAAAATTCTTGGTTCCTAATATAATGACTTATTTGCTTTATCATACTATCTAATGTGTTCAAAATAATAATAGAAATATCATTACTAACAATATGGTTACTAAATGCAGTTTAAGACTTTCTGGCAGTTACTTTTGAACTGAGGATATAAATCTTTAGGGATGTACAAATTACTAAGTTTCTAATCACTTAAAATAATTCTTCTCTGAGTGGTTATACCACTAACTTGATACACAGAGGATTCATTTGTTTCATTTCAGCTTTGACAGGCTTTTATAACATTAAAAAAATCTGTTTTATAGACATGTAAAACATTTATATGGTTCAAAACTCTAAACTATAAAATAAAATACATTCAGACAAATCTAGTTGACATCCCTGCCTCCTCTACTTTGTTCCATCCCACCCCCATAGTTAACCGTTTTCACTAGTTTCAGATTTATTCTTCATGGTGTCAGTTTTTTTCTTTTTAAATATAAGCAAACATGTGTATGTGTGTGTACTTCTGTATTTCCCCCTTTCATAAATAAAAAGTGGCATAGTACACAAAATGTGTTGCCTTTTTCACTTAATATATCTTGGATATCACACTATAGCTGCATAGAACTTTCTCATTCCTTTTAATAGATGCATAGTATGCTATTGAGTCCTATTTAATCAATACCCTATTAAGGGACACGTGGATTATTTCCAATCTTTTGCTACTACAAACAGAGCTGCAATGAACATCTTGCACATACATTTTGTCCTTTTCCTAATGTACTTCTCAGCTACATTTCTAGAAATGAGATTTCTAGGGCAAAGGATGTGCACATTAGTTTACACCTGTTTTGTGGGTACATCTTTCTTCACTTGACTGTAGAAATGTTATAGCAATTATCTCTTTTTCCTCTAACATCTTTGCAAGGGCTTCCCTCAATCTGCTTCTGTTCCTCATATTTAAATGAGATGGGTTTTCCTGCTCTTATGGAAGGACAATCTTGTGTGTGGGCATGCCAGGATAGCCCTTTTAGCTTCATGGCTCTAAGCTCATGCTTCATTGTTACCACAAAGTATGTATGTACGTACACATGTAGGTTTGTGTGTGTGTGCACATAAAATCTTTAGTACATTTTGAGATCTGCTTCCTCTAGTCCCCTCTCTCACAGTTATCTGAAAACTTCTCTTTTCTTACCTTTAAGGTCCTTGTTCTGCTCAATATGGACTCTACTACCAGAGATTTTTCCTGAGTGAAGGCTTCTGTCTTGGAAAGGACTTTGGTTGGTTAGTTTCTAGAGTTGTTAGGACCCAGCTCATCTCAGAACTCGCTTAACTTCCTGAGTGCTGCTGCACTCACCCACAACTTAAAGCCTATCCATACTATTTTCACTTTTGTTATTCCTCATTCCTTCTTGCATCTTTCACCATCCTCGTTCCGTCTGGGATTATTTTCCTTATGCCTAAAGAACATCTATTAGAGAGGGTCTGGGCTGGCCCCGTGGCTTAGTAGTTAAGTGTGCACGCTCCGCTGCTGGTGGCCCGGGGTTCGGATCCCCGGCATGCGCTGACGCACCGCTTCTCTGGCCATGCTGAGGCCGAGTCTCACATACAGCAACTAGAAGGATGTGCAACTATGACATACAACTATCTACTGGGGCTTTGGGGAGAACAATAAATAAAGTTTAAAAAAATGAAAGCTTTAAAAAAAAAAAGGGTCTGCTGGCAGCAAACTCTGTTTTTATCTGAAAATATCTTTATTTAATTTTTTATTATTTAAGGATATTTTCACTGGTTAGAGAATTTTAGAAATTTTCTCTTAGCACAATATATTGTTCCAGTGCCTTCTGGCTGCCATTGTTGTTGCTGAGAAGTTATTCCCAAATCTAACTCTCAGTCCTGTATAGGTATGTGCCTTTTGTTTCTCTGGCGGCTTTTAAGAGTTTTTTCTTTGTCTCTAAGTATGGTTTGGTCCCATTATCTCTTTTACACCATCCTTTTCGGTGCAACTACACGTTAGACATTCTCACTATATCCTCTATATCTCTTGCCCTATTCTCCTTATTTTCTATCTTTCTGTTGTCTGTTTCACTATGGATAGTCTTTTTCAAAACCATCTTCCAGTCTATTGATTCTCTTTTCAGCTTTATCTAATGTGTTAATAACCCCATTTATAGAATTCTTAACTGTACCTACCATATTTTTCAGTTTTAAATTTTTATTTAGTTCTTTTTCAAATCTGCTATCTTTTTTAAAAGGCTCTAGTTCTGAAACTTTTTCAGAACTACAAGAAATTCCGAAATTTTCAAGCATGGCTTTAATTTCCTTGAATGTTGTATAATTAAACAGAGTTGGCTAACAGTTTGTGATTGATAATTCTAGGATCCATTTCTGTGAGTCTTTATCTTTGGTCATTGTTTATGATGGTTCTTGCTCACAGTATCTAGTCTTCTCCTGTCTCTAGTTATTTTTAAATGTTTTCTGGATGCTATCTTTTAAAAGTTATTTGTAGAAATAATTTGAGGCTCAAAATGACGTTATGTTTCTCTTAAGAATTATTTTCATTTGCTTTTACTAAGTGTCTAAAGGCACTAGCAATCCAAAAGCATCTGAATCCAAGCTCAAGACCTGAAAACTCAGGCTACAATCTCTCCGAAAGCTGATTTATTTCTGGTTCACTCTTGCTCCTGGGGTGCAGCCCTGCAGGGGTCTAAGCCCTGGGTGGAAAACTGAACTCTGACTTTTGTCCTACTCCTGTGATGCTGCCAAACACACAGTTTATTTTCTGTTTTTTCTTCAGAACTGACAAATACCATCCAGGGCAAAAATGACCCTAAATAATAGACTTATCTCCTTGGATTCTATTCTTCTCTGCTATCTCAGTCCTGTAATTCCTCACTATTTTGTTAGCTCTTTGATAATTCTAAGAAAGAAATTTTTATATTTTGTCCAGCTTTTTCAGTTGTCATCAGTAATGGGGAAGGTCCAAATTACCTAGTCTGCCATTAGTGAGAGAAGTTACTCTGTCACTTTTCATCCCTCTTAACATACTTCACATCCCTCTTAACCTACTTCACGTCACTTCGCAGCACTTGTTACTTCTTGACATTCACCTCATGCCAATATAAGTTTTAGGTTGATTTAAAAATATAAAAAAAGAAAATTTAAGAAAAGTTGGAAGTGCTTTATAACATACACATCATAAAAAATATTAAAGGCAAATGGAAAACAGAGAAAAACACATTAAAAAATATGAAAGACAAAAAGCCAATACCCTTAAAATAGTATGAGCTCTTAGGTGTAAATAAGAAAAATGTTTTTCTATTTTATTTTATAAGTTTGTTTGCTCTCTCACTTTATCCAAGTCTCTGTTCATATTTCCTGTCCTAAAATAGTCTCATTCCTATCTCTTTCTCCTTAACCTTCTGTATTTTTCTGCACAGCATTTATCACCCTTGCTTTTTTGCTATTATCTTATTAATTATCTGTGCCCTCTGCCACTACTGCAAGCTCCAAGAGAAAAAACACTTTTTTAAATTCACTGCTTTATCTTCAGTGCATAGAACAGTGTCTGCTCAATAAATATTTGTGGAATGAATGAATAAAGTTTTGTATAAAAACAGAATGTCTTACCTTAACAATCATGGAAAATATTTTAAAATACAGAAAATAACAAAAGCTAGTATTTACAGTGTCAAGTATTGCTCTAAATTCTTTATATGTATTAACTCATTTAATCCCAGAAAATCCTATGAGTTAGGTAATATCAAGATACCCATTTTACAGATGAGCAAACTAGACACAGAGAGATTAAGTAGCTCACCTAGGTCACAAAGCTGCTAAGTATGCTGAAAAGAATTAACAGTATGACCAAATACTTTTTGCACCAGTCAAACTCATTTGTTCCTCTTCACTCTTAAAATCTCTTGAATATGAATGAGCCCAATTAAATAAAACTACTACCATGATCACCACCATCATTGACTGAGTTTTTTAGTACATACATACTAAAGACTACACTCAGCATTTTACATATGATATCAAACTTAGTCCTTATAACAATCTTGTGAAGTAGGTTTTATCACCTTTCTTTTATAAAAGGAGAAAACTGAGGTAAAAATATATTTTTATCTAATAGATCAAAAAACTTGCAATAAAACTTTATGCTTCAAAAGGATAAATAAGTACACTCCCTTGAGAAAAAAAAGAAAGCACTACATACATCCATTTCAGATATATAATCTTCTGGTTTGTCCATAAATACAGCAGAGACTGGAACAGATGTGTTTTTAGACATCATGAATTTTAATGGAACTTCCTGGAAGATTTGATTTCTCTCTCTCATGGTCATTTTCTTTTGGGGAAGTGGTGAATTAATATAAATTACTTTAACTGGTTTTGAACCTTAAAACAGAAACAGAAGGAAGGAGGTGATTAGTTTCTAGCAGTTATACTTAAAAACAAAACAGGATGTATTACAGAAGAATCACTAAACAACGAGACACAGGATAGGAAGGTGGTAGCATGTGTCTCATTTATTTGCCACCCTTGAACTAGAAGATCTTTCAAGTCCCTTAGAGATCTACGGGCAAGAGAATTTGACTGGCAAGAAAAATATGCTCTCTTTCTAACAATTTTTTTAAAGGATCCTCTGCTTTTTATTGTTATACTTTTACTGCCATTATTACTCAGTTCTTATAGGGTTATACTTTCAAAAAGTGACAAAATTTTTACCACAGGGAACATATTACATTTAACTCTGATTTGTAGTTTTGTTTCATTAGACATAGTCCTTCATGTACTATAATTATGTTGTTACACATAATAATATTAATTCTAGAAGATATGAAAAAATTATTAAATAAATATAAACCAAAATAGAAAGGTAATAATCTTTTGTACAAAGGAATTTATGTGCAAATATTGATTTTACTGTTAAAAGAGAGACTATCCTATGCTTATAAGTATACACCTATTTTAATTCTGAATTTCAATAACAGACAAGTAAATTAGTCCTGGAAACTCACCCATTTGAGGTTGTCTACTAAAGTACTGCATTCCTTTCATTTCACTAAAAGACAGAAGAACTTCACCACTTCATGTAATTTTGGCCACTCTAAACCGTAGTTGTTTCTCTAACTACCCCACACCCCCTAACATGAGTATACATTCTGTAGATCTAATAGCTCACTTCTAAGTATCAATTCTATAGTAGCAGTACATATTAAAAAAATTCTACTGAATATAAATGTCAAATTTACATCCTCTTTAAATCAAAACTTAGATTTTTGTATTTGACAATTGACCACCTATGTTTAGACAGTTGAAATAAAACTGTTCCAACTCTTTTGAGAGCATTACTTGATATGGCAAATCACAAACCTGCAACAGGTATTAGTTGAATACACACTGGAATTTCCCACTGTTCCTTGTAGCTTGGTCCATGATTATTTAATAAGGTAAATAATGATTGACTAGTTAGAGCTATCTGAGGGTGATATCTTGAAACAAGCTTCTCTGCATTTGGATCTTTACTAATGTCCTGAAAAACAACATATAACTTGTTACTACTTACTGGAAGTTTCTTTGATAAAGTAATAGAAAGGAGAGAGAGATGCAGGAAGGGGACTTTAGAACGATTAGGTTATATGTACTTTACGAGGTACAGAAGATTACTCAGAAGATCCAAAAACACCTTCCTACTTACATAATGCATAGCTGCAGCTGTTTGTTCTGGTGTTTCAATGGTTGATATGTTATCTTTTGAGAGCTGTAACTTTGCAGGCATTGATGGAAATACTGTTTTCACATATTTTACACTACCCTAAATAAGAAAAAAAATGAATGTTTTGTTGCAAAAATCTTGATGTATTTTTTTTCCCTAAGAAAAGTATCCCTTCATCATATGAAACTTTCACTTTAAAATTCTTCATTCTACTAAATGCAAACGTCAATTTTAGAGCCTTCTTAAGTCAAGACTTTCATGCTTTGGCTTGCCAACCACCATATAGGTTGTTTTAAAAAAGGGTCCAAGACAAGGGTGCCATGGAATTTTCTCTGCCACTTTAAATTCTAACTTCTCATTTTATGAGGTACAAATCCTAACACAGTACAGCAGAAACTCTAAAATATCCTCTCTATACACACTTACTTCCAATACGATTGTGAATAAAATCATTTAAAAGAAGAGGGACTTCCTGTTTGTATTCAGGGACATTAAGAAAGATGGGAACTGGGGCCAGCCTGGTGACGTAGTGGTTAAGTTCACACGCTTCACTTTGGTGGCCTAGGGTTCGTGGGTTCGGATCCCGGGTGCGGACCAATGCACCACTTGTCAAGTCATGCTGTGGTAGTGTCCCATATAAAGTGGAGGAAGAGGGGCACAGATGTTAGCCCAGGGCCAATCTTCCTCGGCAAAAAGAGGAGGATTGGCAATAGATGTTAGCTCAGGGCTAATCTTACACACACACACACACACAAAAAAAGAAAGATGGGAACTAAGAAAAGAAAATCAAGAAATAAAGTTGGTACAGTTATGTGTTGCTTAATGACAAGGCTACATTCTGAGAAATGCATTGTTAGGCGATTTCGTCATTGTGCGAACATCATAGAGTGTATTACACAAATCTAGATGCTATAGCCTACTACACACCTACGCTATACAGTACTAATCTTATGGGACCACCATCATATATTTGATCCGTTGTTGACCGAAACGTTATTATGTGGCGCATGATTGTAGTGACATTTTAAAAAATATCAAGTATTGGTATCCATAAAATAAAAAGAAAGGGGCACATTTATATTGCATAGTTTAAAAGTTATATCTCATTATTGTTCAAAATTTCAACATAAATACTATCTGTGAAATACAGATAATGTTTCAGACAAAAATAAGTTTTTACTTTCATATGGTAAACTTTACCAATGCCAGAAGAGTTTTTTCTAACTTTAATCCCATCTCTATTCTGAATGGGAAGAATCCCATTAAGCTGGTGACTTCATGGAGAGTATAGAATTCTGGATACTTTTTCACTTGTTCAATGCAAGCTCTTAAAATTTTCTAGGAAATAAAAATTAACAGAAATTCATTTGTATTGTATTTTAATAATGCAACAAAAATAATTTAGTTACATGTCATTATATAATTATTCATTTCAAATATTAGCCTCATTTCATTAATCAGACTTCTAACAATCTAGGCATATTGTATATTCCTTATTTGATTTAATGTCTTCTTTTTCATAATAATTCTTTTCAACCTAATTTCTTAAAAATATTGATATTTACTTATACTAAAATTAGCAATTGTATTAAAATTTAAAATTAGAGAAGACATATATTTTCTATGCTATTTAAGAAACTGTCAAAGAAATAAAGCCACACGAAAATTTCAACACACTTTACTGCAATAAAAGGAGCCACATGAATGATTAGAAATAAATAAGTTTAATATCCTAAAAAGATTCCCAAGCACAATGAATTAACAAAGTAGTTATCTTACAAGTCATTCTAATCTACAATCTAAAAAATAAATGAGAAATGTTATAACTAATTCAAATGATAGAGTATTTAGTACTTCCTGCTCTCCAAACTGTTTTCAAAATCTTAATAACTTACCAGGAAATGTAATCAGGAAGGAAATAAAATTCATAGCTTTACCCAAGCAGAATATATGTCATTTGTGATAACATGTAAATAAAGAAGCACAGCAATTTTGGGGGGGAGGGAGTTTATAATTAAAACACACATACATTATCTTCTAAGACATGTATTTTTTCTTCTTCAGTCAAAGAACCTAATATGAACCTTTTAGAATATATTTTACATCAAAAAAGCTCTTAGCAATAAGCATATCTTTATAATATTTCTACATCCCCTTTCCCTTCAGACATTTATAAAATGTGTCAAGTTACAGATCAATAACTTGACTCCTGTATATCTTTTCATCCATAGTTTCATATCCCCTTCTTTTTGTTCTTTTTTTTTTTGGTGAGGAAGATTGTCCCTGAGCTAACATCTGTGCCAGTCTTCCTCTATTTTGTATGTGGGACACTCCCACAGCATGGCTTGATGAGTGGTCTGTAGGTCTGTGCCCAGGATCCGTATCCATGAACTCCGGACCACCAAAATGGAGAGTACAAACTTAATCACTATGCTACTGGGCCGGCCCCTCATATCCCCTTCTTCAATCCTCACTCCCCACTATCTTTCACATTCTTCCCCTCCATCCACATTTTTCAATGCTGACCTTGATATTTAATTCAGGATATTACTTGCAACTAAGGCAGATGTGGGTTAATATGGAAAAGTTCTGTTTGTTTTTAAAAACCCTAGTCAACTGAAAACTCAGATTTGCATAATATCTTTGCTCCTCATTTACAATATTAGTTAACTTACACTCCCAACATTCTCGTCCTGTGGTAGTCGTTAAGAATTTGTATGATTTCCTTCATTAAGTAGTAGATAATAACAACAATAAACAAACACATAGAGACAGAGATTGGATTGGTGGTTACCAGAGGGGAAGGGGGGAGAGAGGAGGGTGAAAGGGATGATTCGGTACATGTGTGTGGTGATGGGTTGTAATTAGTATTTTGGTGGTGAACATGATGTAATCTATGCAGAAATAGAAGTATAATGATGTACACCTGAAATTTTTACAATGTTATAAACCAACGTTACTGCAATAAACAAAAAATTAAAAAAAAAAAAAAAAAACGAATTTGAACATGCATGGGGTCGGCCCGGTGGCGCAAGTGGTTAAGTGCGTGTGCTCCGCTTCAGCAGCCCGGGGTTCGCAGGTTCGGATCCTGGGCGTGGACCGACGCACCACTTGTTAAGCCATGCTGTGGCGCCGTCCCATATAAAGTAGAGGAAGGTGGGCACGGATGTTAGCTCAGGGCCAATCTTCCTCAAGAAAAAAAAAAGGGGGGGGGAGGAGTGGCATCAGATGTTAGCTCAGGGCTAGTCTTCCTCACAAAAAAAAAAAGAATTTGAACATGCAAAGGAAAGCAATATAATGTGACGTTGAGACTATTCTGGTTAGATATTTACTGGTACATCTTGCTTGGTAAAACTCTGCTGAACGTTACAGTGCTTTTAAATGAGTTTTACTAAATTTAGCAATTATGGCAAGATAAAGACCCAAAGGAAAATCTAACACAGTTTTACACCTATGCTCAGATACGTTATGTATTATTAAAGGTATTTCACAACTGGTAGGTATTAAGCAACTAAAAGATCATTATTTGATATATTTAATAAAAAAGGGTTTTAACTAATAATTTACTTGTCTTGGAAAAAGGCTGAGCGAACAAAGAAGGTTAAGTGATTCAGGCTGTTCCCTATCACCCACCTCCTGAATGTTATTTAACACTCAAAATATCTTGAAATTTAAATACACCAAAAGCACACGCATGTACACAATACAAATGTATCATTACAAAGAAAGGTGAAAACGACTATGCTCCCTAAATTTTATTTTGGGCCAGAAAGGAAAAATATGGTATCATACACGTTTGAAACTTAAAAATCAAATAGATACCTCTGGCAGTATGGTAGAGTAGGTACCTTGAAGAGCAATCCTATCCAAATAATACTAGACCCTGGATAAATTACATCTAACAATTTTTACTCATTGCTGGGCTTGGTAAAAAGCAAGGAGAATCTCCAAGGACCATGAATAAATAAATAAACCCCAAACACCTAGAATGAGGAGAAACAGGAACAGTGAACAGTAAGAAAACACATGAAAGATGAGGCGGCTTGAGGGCAAATGCCTCAACCAGTTCTAAGATCAGGTGGGGAGCTGAACATGAGACTCCCACATTTAAGCCTTGAAAAGCAGATATTTGAACAGATATTTGTACACCCATGTTCACAGCAATATTATTCACAGTAGCCAAAAGGCAGAAGCAACCCAAGTGTCCATAAATGGATGAATGGATAATCAAAATGTCCACATCATACAATGGAATATTTATTCAGCCTTAAAAAGGAAGGAAATTCAGACACATGCTACAACATGAACAAATATTGATGACACGCTAAATAAAATAAGCCAGTCATAAAAAGACAAATACTATATGATTCCACTTATATGAGGGTACCTGGAGTAGACAAATTCAGAGACAAAAAGTAGAATGGTGGTTGCCATGAGCTGGGAGGAGGGGGGAATTGGGAGTTATTGTTTAATGGGTGTGATGCAATAAGAATTGCATCACAATACTTGGTCTTTGTCTCTGGTTCTTGACACACAGCTCCTAAAATCTTTGGAATCTTCTGAGTGATAAGAGTGTCTTTTTTATGTTAATGAGATGACTGGTGGCCCCTAGATAGCTTCAGGATGGGGGATGGTTGCCAGAAAGACCAAGGCATGATTAAAGGGTTGGAACTTTTAGCCCTACTCCCCACCTCTGGGGAGGGGAGAGGAGCTGGATGTTGAGGTAATCACCAACAGTCAATGATTTAATCAACCATGCCTAAGAAAAGAAATTTTCATAAAAACCCCTAAACAATGGGGTACAGAGAGATTCTGGGTTGGTGAACACATGGAGGTGCTGGGAGGGTGGTGTGCCTGGAGAGGGCATGGAAGTTCTGTGCCCCTTCTCCCATACCTTGCCCTAGTTGTTTCTCTTTCATTTGGCTGTTCCTGAGTTTTATCATTTACAATAAACTGGAAATACTAAGTAAAGCACTTTCCTGAGTTCTGCAAGCCATTCTAGCAAATTACTGAACCAAAGGAGAAGGTCATAGGAACCCTAGGCCTACTGTCTAGAGAGTTGGAGAACTGGTTGACGTAGGGGAAGAAAACTCCACATATTTGGTGTCAGCAGTGTTGTGAGTAGAAACAGTTCAGAAATGGGTATAAAGTCTCAATTTTGCAAGATGAAAAGAGTTCTGGAGGTTGGTTGCACAACAATATGAATGTACTTAATACCAATGAACAGCACACTTAAAAAGGTTATGACAGTAAATTTTATGTTATGTGTATTTTACCACAATTAAAACAAAATTTTTTAAAAAGGGAAGGAAAAACTGACACATGCCCCCTATAACATGGCTGAACCTTGAAGACATTATGCTAAGTGAAATAAGCCAATCACAAAAGGACAAACTTACGACTCCACTTATATGAGGTACCTAGAGAAGTCAAATTCACGGAGAGAAAAAGTAGAATGGTGGTTCCCAGAGACTGGAGGGAGGAGGGAATGATGAGTTATTATTTAATGGGTACAGAGTTTCAGTTTGGAAAGATGAAAAAGTTCTGGAGATGGAAGGAGGAAATACATTCACAACAGTGTGAATGTATTTAATGCCACTGACCTTTCCTTAAAAATGGTTAATATAGTAAACTTTATGTTATGTATATTTTACCACAATAAAAAAAAGAGAGAAACGGAAGACAGACTGATGTCTAACCTACAAAATTTGGGAATCCTAGAAAGACACAGTTGAGAAAATGAAGGAGAAGCAATAACTGAAAACAGCTGAGAACTTTCCAGAACTGATGGAGGATATGAATCTACAGATACAAGAAACACAATGAACCAAGTAGAATTTCTTTTAAAAAAACAAACAAAAAAAGAACCACATTGTAATGAAACTGTAAAACACTAAAAATAAACAGTGTTTAGAGAGAAAAGACAGATTCCCTAAAAGAAATAACAGGCAACACACTTTTCAATAACAATAATATGAGCCAGAAAAAGTTGAATTATATCTTCAAATGTTGAGAAATAAAACAAACTGTCAACTTAGAATTATGTATGGAATAAAACTATTTTAATAGAGTGAGAACAAAATAAAAATATTGCCAGATAAACAAAAACGTTCATCACCAAGAGATCTTCATCAAAGGAACATCTAGAACATATGGCATTTCAGGAATAATGAAGAGGATCTCAGAAGGTAGATTTAAGAAGTAAGAAGAAATGGAAAGCCAAAAAACTGTCAAAATTTGTAGATAAATGAAAACAAACACTGTATAAAATAATAATCTAAGTAGGTTTAAAAAAGAGACAGTGTTAACACAACAATATCAATCAGGAGGGATATGAT